TGCCCCGGGCTCACGCTGTGTGTGGTGCCTCCAAGCAAAGCCCCGAGCTGTGGGGCGATGTCCTGCGGAGCCCCGGGCGCGGCAGTGCCCTGCAGCGGCAGCAGCACAGCCTGGGCGCTCACTGTTTCACGTTCCTCTCTGATTGTCACAGGTTCTCATGAAGAGAAATCATATATTTTCCAGCCCAAACAGAAGCCCAGGCGCCTCAGCCGAAGGCTGCGCAGAGTCAAGGACGGCAGGGAAACGGGAGCTCTGCTGCCTCATCAGCCATGCCCCGAGCGGCCGCCCTGAGCCCAGCGGCTGGGACCGGGCCCTGGCTATTGGCTTCGGAGGCTGGGTGGGACGATGTGTCGACGGTATAAAGTTGGAGCAAGTTTTTAATTTTTGAAGGATAGCGCTTCTTCACTTGAAGATAAACCTTTTTACTTTTTTGTCTTGCAAACTTCTAGTCTACAAAAATACTAATAACGGATTTTCTTTGCCCTTTCCTTCCAAGTATGCTGTGCTCAGTGTCTTTTCCTTTGGCTGAATCGTGAATTGATCCCATTTCAAAAGTGAAATGATGGTAGGGGGCTTTATGTGCGAAGAAGCATTGGCTTCTCGCCTATATAGCCAGTACGATTTGTCTCACTGCAAACTCAGAAAAAGCATCATGATAGCCGTAATCAACATTTTCTGCACTAGTCCTCAGGATTTGCAGGAAGACTTTCTGCTATTTATTTTTCTGCTGGAAATAGCCTTTGGCCACGTTTTGAGATTAAAAAAATCGTAATTGTGGTGGATACTCTGAATTGCAAATACAGCGGTGTTTTCTTCTGTCTTCTGGATCATTGTTAAAATCCATGTGGGTACTATTTTAACAGGCCGTTTAAATTAATTTCTGACTTTTACATTTATAATCAGGATTTTGTACCTAATTCTGTAATTAGTCTCCTGTGAACTTTCAGCCTGTATGTGATTACATTATGCAGATTAACTTAGCTTTTGCAAAAATAAACATTGTGTTTAAAGGTTTTTAAATATACAAAACAACCCACAAGCAGCTTCTTCAAAATTTGCATACAGTCGTGTAATTCCTACTGGTTTTACTTGACTGTCTCACAGATAGCAAACTTCTGCAATGAGTTTGGCATTGATAAGTTACTGCTTTGAGTCCTTGAGAATTCAACCAGAAGAAATAGTCCCCAATGCACAGACACTGGCCACATTTTCTTTATTTCCTCTTGCAACTCTCCTGGCCCAAAATGCTGCTGTCGCTATCCCCAAGGGCCAGTAAACTAATGATTACAAAACAGTACTTTGAGGAGGTTTTCTATAACCCTTGGTAGGGTATCATTAAACTTGGAATTCATCTGGATTAAAATAGATATTAATTCCCATACTTAGCATTGATGGGAATTGGAATATCAATATATGGTAATTTTGATTTTTTTGGTGTAACTGTAGCAGCTCGTGAAATGCTGCAACGTACAGCAAATCCAAGGAATGGGAAAGGAAGAATACAGCCCTTTGCTTCTAATTTATTGCTAAACATTGCTCAGCCTGAATAACCCAGAAGAAAACTTCACTGTGAGATGGCTACCTGGTGGTTCAAGCGACGGGATTTGTGGACACCTCCCCAATTTCTAGCAGCCATATTCTTGCACAAAATCCACATCACTGTAACCATTCCCTACTAATGACTCCTGTACTTCTGTCTGGAGGACACCTAAAAAACTCCGGCAATTTTGTTGGCATTCTCATATGAGCCTTTCACAGCTCACAACATTTTTTTCAAACGATAGTTTGGGATAATTGCAAGTTTGCAGTGGCTGTTCTGTACATATTTTTCAGTGATAAAGCTATGTAGTCTAAAAATAACTTCAAGGCCTCTCCTCCCTGCAAAACACAGACGACAGAAGGTTTGTTGCTGCTACGGCAGTTTGAAGAATTTGGAAGATGGATAACTTCTTTCCAGTCCCCAAAATATGTTTCTGGTTTTGAACCATTTGCTTCAGTCTCGGTTTAAATTCCATTTTTCCCCCCCTGCTCTTGAATGCAGAATGAGCATCTTCTGTGCCCCAGCATCTCTGTCCCCTCCCAGTTTATTCGTGAACCAGGCACTGGGAACCTGAGGCTGAATGCAGCAGAAGGTATATTAAAACATTTGAATCATGCCTCTCATTGACAAACCCTCTGAGTTTCCCCTACACCGGACTTTTGAAGTAGCATGTCTATCAGTTTCCTCCTGGGATCACAGAGATGGGATTTGCAGGATTGAAAAATCTGACAAAAGATGAAATTAGATCCTTAATCCTGTAAACCAGGGACTGGCAACCTTTCGTGTGTCAAATCAAAGGCTGTTTTTGCCTTTCTGCGCTAGAGGCTAAGCGTGCTTTCAGGAGCCCCAGTGAGCCAGCGGAAGCTGCCCCCAGGAGGGAAGATTTTGCGGAGCTGCTGGTGGGTGACACCTTTTCCTCCAAGGCAAACGGAGCCGGGGGCTGGGTGCTGTGGCTGCTCGTAGTCTCTCCAGCTCCACGTAGTCTTGCTGCCTTGCGCTGCTCACAGCAGCGTTACACGTCGACGAGTGCCATCCAAGAAAAGTCCCTGCTACCCTTCAGCATTTCAGCTACCACAGCATCCTTGTAGGTTAGACAGTACTTTGGTTACCAGGACGAAAGTCCACCTGCCTTCACAATTTATCACTATCACGAGCAAAGCTCTTAGAACAGGATAATCTCAGAGATTTGATTGAGGAAAAGCTCTTAATGCACCAAAGTCTTAGTTAAAAGAAGCCAAAAAGCTTGCTCATGAGGTTCCTCAGCCATAGCTTATCTTGCCATTAACTGAAGAAGGGACAAGGAGAAGCAGCTTTGAAGAGGGAGGTGTTTGGTCCTTGGCCTAAATGGGATGAAGGGAGAGACTGCGGGGTTGAAAACCACTGCCTGTGAGTCAGGTTGTCTGTCAAAGGACACTCAGGAAAATGATCACAGCCTAAGCGAAGTTTGGATTGAAAGTGCACTGGAGTATCTCAGCTCTTGTGTGGACAGCCTTATGCAGAACTAAAGCACCTAATTCCAGTTGGCTTGCTTCATTCTGAATGCAAAATATATAATTATCTACTTCCAATCTAAAGAATTTTGTTTAGTTTTCCTGGGGTTTACAATGCAGACAAGCATGAGTTGGTTTGGGTAGCAGGAAGATCAAGCTCATAGCCTGAACTGATGTGCTCCCTCATGTTTTGGAAATTGTGAAGTAAATTACTGTCCAACTAAAGAAGAACCTGAAAGCACACGAATGGGAAAAAAAAAACTTTTTATTTACTTGATTATATGGAGATGCATTTAATCAGAAATACCTTTGTGTTTCATGGCCTGAGAATGTATTTTCCAGGAAGTTTTAAGCAGCACATTAGCACCATCAAATTCCATGGTGATGTCCATCAAGAGAAGTAGCCCTGGTCCCTCTCTTGGCACATTCCTACATACAATTGCCACTCAATTACCACCAGCCACTTATCAAGGACACATTTTCATGCAGAAAGCCTGTGGCTGAGGGTTGTTTTTTCTTTCTGTTGCCTTGGGACCATACTACCTCACAGCCAGTTCTGTTAATGAATGAATTCCTGTCACTTGACAGGAATTACACAAGGCTCTGTCCTTTGCCTTGGTGGTGGAAAGTAGAAGTGGAGGCCAAAAAGGGCTGGGAGGCAGAAAGAAAAGTAGAGGCAGAGAAGGGGTGGGAGGCCAAAAGAAGAGGGGATGCCAAAAAGGGCTGGGAGGACAAAAGGGAGTAGGAGGCCAAAAAGAGGTGGGAGGCTGACGAGGGATGTAGAGTTTGAAAAAAAGTTAGGGCTGAAAAGGGGTGGGAGGCCAAAAAGGAGTCATCAGCTCTTGGCGCTGGGACTCCGAGCGCACGATGTACACCAGCCTCACAAACGTCTCGATGAGGCTGCTTAGCACCTGGAAGCTGCTCGTGATGGCAGAGAGCATGTGGGTAGGACTCTTGTCGACGGCTGCCACGCGGCGGCAGGACGCCCGGAACCCCCTTCACTTGAGGGCGAGCTCTTGCTTGTACTCAGCCAGCTGGGAGATGTAGGGTTTGCAGTCCCGGACATCAGGGCTCACCACACACTGCCTCAGGATAGTCAGGAGCTCATCGGTGTCCAGCTGCACTTGCAGAAACCCATTGGGGAAGCTGTAGGCATGGCCTCGAAGCGTGTTGATCTTCGCCAAGCTCCCCTCAAAACTGGAGGTCCTTAAATCTATTTCCTGGGTCTGACTGTCATTGGGACTGCTGCAGGCTGTTGCCTGAGGAGCTGTAGTGCGGCCCCGCCCCCGCCTCACCACGTCTCCTGGTTGCTGAACTTCTTCGTGACCACCTTGCCCAGCTCCAGGCCGAGGCGGTCGGCGATCTTCTGGGACAGGTCCTGGTGCGAGCTCCCGCTGAAGATCTTGATGTTGGGCATGATGGCGGCGGCGGCGGCGCTCTCCTCCTCCTCCCCGCTCGGCCTCGCACCGCACCCGGCTGCCGCACGGGCACCCACCCGCCTCCTGCGCGGGGACGCGGCACGGTGAGCGGGGCCCGCACCCACGCGCCCCTACGCCGCCATCTTACCCCTTCCCGCCCGCCGCGGGGGCCCTTTATCGGCTCCCCGCCCCCCCCGC